TTGTGAAATGTCAAGGACAACTAGACAGAAATTACTGCAAATGGATTTAGATCACTAGAATCCCTATTTTTATTAACTCTTTGAACTCTAGATATTTATTGTGGTAAGAAATTACCCATGACAGGTTATGTAGTCAGAAAGATTTATTTAGAACCTTTGATATGTTTTGGTAAGAGCGAAGAAACCAATAAAGTTTACTGAATTGTATCACTTAATGCAAAATTATATATCAGCTGAATGACATACAATAACAATATGCATCTAAATTGCTTAATTGGTCTGTGAATATTTTTAAAATATCAGACTTTTAAAAAATATTGGTCTTCTGTGTCTTTTTTTTGCATTTCCTCATTTTCTGCCTGCAAACTGATGTAACTTCTGAGGAAGATTTTTTATGTTGTTATTTTTTATGTTTTCCTTCATGTCTTGATTTACACTGGCTGACTCAATGTTTGTAGTGTAGGAAGATAATATTTTGAGATTTGTCTTTCATGAACATTCGTACCTTGAAACATGAACTTCTCAGAATCACGGTAGCTTCAAACAAGCATTCCTTTGCATAGACCTAGCTTTGCGTTGACCTTTTACCACCAGTGCCACTGAAGGTGCAACAGGAGTTTTAAGGCTTCACTTATCGACTATTTTGTCTGTCAAGCAAAAAGCAGATTGGGAGACAGAAGGTCCTCTGTGTCCCATCCTCTGGTGTAAATACCATCACTGAGATACAATTTTCCCCTGCTGATATCTGAGTCTCCTTCTCCCTATCTGCAGGGTGAATTTAACAATGGTCCTTCTAAAGTACAAAGCTGGCGATTTGTAAGAAGCTATGTTATATGGCAAACTACACTGTACATAAAGATGAATGAAAAATAGCAGATCCTGTCAGAAAAGTATGCAATCTTAATCTCTGATCTACAGACCACAGAGGTTGATAAAAACATTTATTTTGGCTTCTGTGTGATGAACATGTGATAAAATGTAACAAGGCCAAAATATGTATAGGAGTAAATTAAGTTATGCACTGTTTAGGATTAATTCTACTAACTAGTTTGGGGAGATTAAAAGAATATTTTACACATCTGTAACTACAATTTAAGCAATGTGGCAAGACGGAAGGTAAAATCATTGTCCTTCATTTGGACTTTTAGGAGCTGAAAGGCTGTAAAGCTAGTAGGATAATGCTTCCCAAATACGTAATAAACTATGCAAAGAGAAAACAGTAATCTGTTCTCCGTATCCATGATGGATTGATAGCTAGGACAAGGGAAAATGGGCTTAAATTGTGTAACGAAAGATTCAGGCTAGGCGTTAGGTAAAAATTTCCTCAGATGAAGAATACTGAAGTCAGTTGATGGAAGGATTGTGGAGTTGCTGTCATTCAAATTCTGGGACTATAGGGTAGACAGATAAATGGCAGGAAAGATGGTATTGCTGAGCCTCTTCTGGAACGGTGGAATGGGCAAGGTAACCTCTCCAAATGTGACCCTGAAACAGTTAGATATTTGAGATATCTGTTCCCTGTCCTTAACAGGAAAAGCACCAAAAGAGCTGTGTCTCTCTAGCCATAATCTTAGAATATGAACTGGCACAAACCCACTTATGAAACAAAGAAAACCCAAACTCTGTTTGAGAAAAATGTAAATAGGTTTTGAAAATAAATCTAGCTCTTGCTAGTGTTATCTTTTCCTTCATTCTTGTGTTCATTCTTGCAACTTTCAGAGACTTCTTGGTTAAAGCAATTGTCTCTGGTCACCAGTTGTCATCTTGCCACCTCCACTGAGGTTCACTCATGTCTGTTCCTTCCTTTTCCCAGCAACCTCCCAGGCTCCATCCTTGCTGCCTGCTCTGTCCTTGTTAATCCTTCCTCCCTCTGCTTCTCCCAGCTTGTACTTCTCCTAGCAAAGCATGCTCAGGGGCCCTCTGGAAGGGAGTGTTTGCCTTTCCATCCTCACCCGGCGCCTGCCATTGGCATGAGGTAGAAAGAGACAGCTTCTTGTTTCACAGCAGAATAAACAGTGAACACAACCCCAAACTTTTCTATCACACTTCTCCATATTAGTTGCATTTTCTATGCTTCTAAGTAGCTAAATACACATTTTGAAGATTTTTCCAAATGTTAGCAAGTTCAAACTTACGGGGTGCCATAAGTTTTCGCAATGGCACTGTGTTTTACTATATATCCATTCATTCTCTAGAAATGAGAAGGGAATGGATTTATATCTATCATCTCAGCTATTTTTAAGTGTTGTGGTTTCTTACTGTAGTCAGTAGTGGAGACAACGAAATTTTAAGAGGAATATCAAACGCTACCAAGCAGAACTGAATGGCTAATGCAAAGTATGGGAAATATGTAAGTATCTGGGAAAGATCACATGTGATGGTGTTCATATCTCAAGAAAAGGCTCAATTCATGCTAAATAGTACTCAAATAAGCAAACAAAATTGTAGACAGCACTAAAAATAACACCAACAAGAATGCTGAGACTTTAACACAGTGGGTTTATTACATTTTTTGAAATACTATGTTTAGTTTCGTTACTTTGACTGAAAAAAAATTACCAGGAGATGTGTAACTGAAATGATTAGGGTTCTAGAGAGAGTGTTATTTGAAGAGGATTTAGAAGTCTGGCACTGGTTAGTTTCCAGAGCACAGGAATAAGACAGGTCAAACTAAACATATACAACTCAATAAATCTTACAAAGTTAGTTAATCACATGCTTTCTATTTATTCTATTTCTATTTACATTTTCTGCTATACTGGACAAGAGAACACTAAATTACACTGAAAGCAAATAGCAACAAAGATAAAATTACTATATGGAAATACCATTAAAAATATTTAGTGACTTAAATCCCTTTGTTTCAAGATACCCTTGAAGTCAGAAGGTTAGTAGAATTCAGTTAAACACTACATGTGTCTCTGCGCAACAAAAATCTTTCAGATATGTTAGACGTAAAAGTTCACAATTAGACCCTAGGACATTTAAAACTGAAAAATGAAATGTAAGCATTTATGCATCTTTGATAAAGGAAAAAACATGCTTGCTACTTGACGTGACAGGTTAGTACACCACCATATTGAATAAAAAATGATAATAATTAAAAAACAGTGGTATGTGTTTCCAGGCTTTAATACAAAATAGAAATAAACTTTGCTTACATTTTTTCTTTAATAAATTCTGTTTCATTTGAATATTGAGTTTTAATTTAATTTTGACTTAATAATATTTCATCATTCTGAGTTCCTTATGAATTTTTCTTTCTTTAAGGCAATGTTCTTAGTTTGTCAGTGATTTGTACGGTAGCACATGTTGGGTTGTGGCCAGCTCTTAGTAGTGAGTTAGTAGTAGTTTGTTGAGCTCTAGGAAGATTAGTGTCTAGTTTTCTCCAGCTGTGAGGATCGTTCATTCTTCTTTGGGGTCCATTAGAGAAAACCAAAAGGCTTCCTCTGGAACCTCAGAGTTAGTGAATCCTGTTTAAGGGAAAGGG